CACCATACCACCCGCTCTGTGACATGGCCCTCCTTCGCGTCTCGTCTCATCCCCACGGCGACGGGGCCCACTTGTGTACCTGATATGCATGATGCATGCAGCCCTGAGCCAGAGGGAGGAATGTAACTTTTCCTTCTCTGGGCGATGTTGTGAGTCCTTATCCATCAGTCAAATGCATCCTGGACAGACTGTCGGGGTTCAACATCCCGACGAGTCAGTGAAAGTCTGATGAAACAGTCTGGCACGGTCACACCTTTTCCATGGAGTTATGTCGAGTGAACATGGCCATCCCCGTGCAGATGCAGGGGAGAGGTTTTCGGAAGGGACAAAGTAAAAGGAGATACGTAGGTTGGCATGCAAAGCATCAAAAGAGGAACCAAGAGCACACTGTCAATCATCATAGCACCAGAATATGGCTTGGCCTGCAACTTTAGCCCACGCATCCCTCGAATGCAGCTCTCATGGACTTCTGGTGTCATGCCTGTGCTGTAAACAGATTCGTGTGCATTTGCATGTGTGCGTGCGTGTGTGCGTGTGAGCGTGTGAGCGTGCGTGCACGTATGTGTGTGTGTGTTTCTGATCGTCACCACGACAATCCCTTTTCCACCCAGATGACTGGATCAAATTGAAAGCGCTTTACCTCACGCATCTATCCACTAAAGGAGTTCACTTTGGGAAACAAACGACACCCCTCGGACTAGACAGATGGTAGGCTCTCACGAATTCGCACTGCTTCTTGCAACATCTAGAAGTCACACTTCATGACCCAGGACAGTGCAGCAAGACATGCTGCACACAAACAACATAGAGATGTTGCACACACACGAGATGAGAACATGTACGTCAGCAGCTCTCTCTCTCTCTCTCTCTCTCTCTCTCTGATGAGAACATGTACGTCAGCAGCTATGTCTCTCTCTCTCTCTCTCTCTCTCTCTCTCTCTCTCTCTCTCTCTCTCTCTCTCTCTCTCTCTCTCTCTCTCTCTCTCTCTCTCAAGTCCTAACTACATTCAGGCCTCTCTCATCCTCTATGAATGTCTTCCTCGCCACTCTCTTTCCATCCACAGCTATGGCGCCGGGCACCATTGACTAACCTTCTAAACTGCCTCTCAGCCTCACTCGATGCTTGACCGCACAAGACCTCAACAGCACTTCTGCAACAGGCTCGAATGCAAATTGTCTTCTTGCTTGGCTGCCGCTGGACTTCTGTACTTGCTGCGGTTCCCTGTCTTGGACTTTTCCGGCTCGGCCCTTACTTGCCGGCCGCGGCTTTCTTTGATGCATCTGGAAGTTACCAGACTTTCCTGGGACCAAGCTGCTGACCTGGACTGGACTGGCAGGCCTACCGAACCGACAGACTGACTCAGCCTACCGGATTTCCTATGCCTGCCTACCTACCGACCTAACGGACTTCTATTGGCACAAATGGGCCTGCCGGTTGGTGCTATGGTACACGGGGGCTCTGGTACTAGGACCCTAGGACTCAGGCACTCTGGGACTGTGGGACTGTGGGACTCTGGGACTTGGATGCTGAAATGTGTGAAATCCTTTCACAAATTCACAGAAAATATTTTCAGGATTCAAAGTTTCAAACTTCAAGGCTATTGACTAAAATTTGACTAAAGTTCTGCTTTTCAAACTTTTTTTTTTTTTTTTTTTTTTTTTTTTTAACGGGGCYTTWTGGTCCCGGWTTTTMAAAYTTTTYTTKYTTAARAAATTATGAAATAATCAATTAGATTCCAGACAGGCTTCCAAGTGTCCACTATCTAGAACCTTGGATTCCATTGGTGACCGGGATGTCCAGATCACTACACTTGCTCTTCTGGCACCAATTCACCACCAATTCCCTGGAGACATTGCCCCTTCTTTCTGCTACGGAGTTATCTGACCTGCCACACTGGCACCCATTTTCAGTATTATTTATCCTTCCCTTCTGTGATGAAGTCACCTCCCACTTCAAGAGTGCTTTTTTTATGCCTCCCTTCGACCCGCAAATTGCAGACCTGAAGTATTCAGCCCTTCCTTCTGCGGCCAATTTACCTCTGCCGACAGACTGCCGTCTGTTACAGAGTTATGATCCAAGCTGTTCACTCCTCTGGCTTCTGCCACCAAGTTACCGAACACTTTCCGAATCTCCGTTAACTGTGGTATGCGCCACACGGGCCCCTTGGGGCCTCAGCATTGGTTTTGTGTTTGGCCTCAGGGCCTGTTTGAGTCTGGCTCAGCGACTTTCCCTTTAGTCCGAGTGTATCTGCCAGCAGAGTGGGACCGTTCCCTAGGCCAGATTCAGTTGGGCGCCAGTTGCAGCTTTCCATTTTGAGTGTCAGCGCCTCACTTTCAGTTTGGGCGCCAGATTTCAGGACTGTCCGTGTCCTGTAGTGCAGTTTGAGTGCCAGATTCACCACCGGTGGCTCACTGCCGTTGGGTGCCAGTCCTCGGCCATGCGGCAGTAGGCCCAGCAGTATATATAGCTGGTCCAGCCTCATGTGTGGCACGCGGAGTTAGAGGTTGAGGTCTACACGCTGCTGTGCAGCACTGCTTCATTAAGAGGAGTAGTAGGGCGGAGGGCAGGGTATGGGCGATGTACCTGCAGACTAACCTGGCACCATAGCTCGTGCTTGTCTTCAGGCGTCTTCAGGCGTCTTCCACGTGCATCACAGCTCCAAGGAGCAGCAGCTAAGTGAATCTGCACATCTAGCTCCCCAACGCTGAGGTTACAGGAGACACCTTTACGCTGGTCAGAATCCGGGCTCCACCTTCGTGAGACTACGAGAGGATTCTTCGTCTTCGTCTCCCTCCAGCTTCATCACTTCTCTTCCTCCTCCTGCGTCTTCTTCCTCTTCTTCCTCTTCTAAGAGAGAGAGAGAGAGAGAGAGAGAGAGAGA